CACAAATAACTTCCTGCAACTTTAAGATTATTGTTGTTAGTGTCTCTGTCATAATACCAGAAAGGGAATCAGATGACATTCTGTCTCTTTCACCTCATCTTTCACAGCTGTATGTGAATAAGTCTAAAGTACCACACTGACAAAATAAAAAAAGGAAATGTAAGAACTTCAAGAGGTGTGTTTAGTAAGAAACTGAGCAAGTGTTTTTGTTGGCCTTTTCCCTTCACTCTTAAATCCTGGCACACAAAATGTGCATTAATCCCATACAAATGCATTACTTCCTCCTCCTCACTTTGCTCAAAGCTACATTTTGTTGTGGATATTAACAACAAAACAGAAGAAACAAACTGACTTGAGTTCAAACTATTGTATGTAGTTTTATTTTTCCATTGAGCTAATCATATGTGACTGACAGTTTCAACCAACTTTAAACTTAAAATTTTATAATGAACTTAAAATGAACTATTTTACTTCAGATTCTGTAAAAACAAACAAAACAACAACAACAACAACAACAAAACCCCAAAACCTAACAGATTCTTTGTTCCTCAGTGCATCTGAGAAACCATGACAGACTGAGCTGTGACCAACAGTTGCATGACAAAAATTCAGTTAATATTTGATTTGAGATTAGACAAGAATGGAAACTTTCTTGATCAATTTAATAAATGCAGCATGGATAAAAAACGGCAAACAGATGAGAAAGTTGTTGCAACATACATTCAGCATGGTGACACATCTTGAGCTGTACATTTGTAAACAAAGTTTACTTACACATGTAAAGACCATGTTATGTATATGATAGCAGTGTTGAGTTTTCTAGTGACTCATTAAACTCTGACTTTTCTATGATAGAATCATTGAAACGTGTCTTTGTCACAAAAAACAATCCATGCATTTTGGTTCTTTCATAGATTTATTATAGGTCCTCTGGAAATATGACAAAATCTGCTTCGTCAAAAAACTAGACACACAGCAACGTTATTTGTCAGTTTTGGTGATGTAACAAAATGTGTTTTCTGAGTGGCCTCTGAACTTCCTGTGAGTGATTTCTACAGCTGCTGACTCCTCTGAGCCAAACAGTTCATGACTGTAAATAATTATATTTCAATTGTATGTGGTGCAACCAACTCTTCAGTATTGGTCACACATGCGGAGAATTTTAACTTTAGTTTTTTTCTTTTTTTATGATTTATGGCATCACATCTATGTTGTACTGCTCAGGAGACATTTCTGACTCCTCTTTTCTTCTTCATGGTTGTGCTGTTTCCACAGAGGTGCAGGACTTTATAGTTCATTGAAAAATGAGCTCACAGTGAGGAGAAATGTTCAGTTCAGAAGGTTAACCTCCTCAGTTCAGTCATTTAAACATCTCTGTCTGTCTCAGGTACCTGAACCTGCAAGAGAACCGCATCAACGTAATCCATGACCAGTCCTTCCAGGACCTCTTGCGGTTGGAGAACTTCTACCTCAATGACAACCTACTGTCCAATCTGCCCCGGCTCGCCTTCAGAGGCCTCAGCCGCCTCAAGATGCTTAACCTCGGGGGGAACCAGCTGATCAATGTGTCCAGGACCTGGTTCAGTGACCTGGTGGAGCTGGAGGTCCTGTATCTGGACCGGAACCAGCTGCTGTTCATTGAGGAGGGCACCTTTGAGAACCTGACCAGCCTGATCACACTGCATCTGAACAGCAACAACCTCACCACCCTGCCCTTCCCCGTCTTCCAGCCCATCTACTTCCTGGGTCGCCTGTACCTCTTCAGGAACCCCTGGGAGTGTGACTGCTCCCTGGAGTGGCTCAAGGACTGGATGGAGAGCTACAACCTGGTAAGGGACATCCCCTGCGCCTCGCCATCCTCCGTGGCGGGACTTGACCTGAGCGAGGTGGTCTTCACAAAGGTGAACGGGACGTGTGTGGACCCCGGGGAGCTCAACCTGACCACGGCCTCCACGGAGATCGCCTCCACCACTGAGAACCGCTTCAACAGCCTCATCTCCAAGCTGCTTCAACAGGAGCTCCGGGAGGAGATGGGGAACGGGACCGAGAGCCTCCGAAATGGGACCCTGCTGGAGGCCGAGGACGGGCAGCTGTCTGCAGGAGGTCAGCGGAGCCTCTGGAGCCCTCCGCTTCTCTGTTTCACTGTAGTCCTCTTTGGTTTGTTTGGCCTGTCAGATGTTCATTTCTGTCATTATAGCACATGAGCCAGCATGGATAAATTGAGGTAAAAGATGATTTTATTCATTCAAGCAAGTATGAAGAAAGATTCTTCAGTGCATGTATGGATACTGGTGTGAGTTGGCCTGCCAAATGTAGGATTTGGGTTTGGGTTGTTTTTTGCTGCTGGAAAGTGTGTTCAACTGAATATTTTCAGCTGACGTTCACATGAGCCGTTGATACTCGATAATCTATGCTATTTGCAGATGAAATACTTACATAAGAGTTCGCAAACAGCAATGCCAAAGCTGTATGGTTGAGGGATTCGTTTCTACAATTACAGCGGTGGGTGTTGATTTGAAACTGTGATGAAAATGTAAATGTTGCATAATGTTCCATTTTAATTAATATTATGTAATATTCATAGCATTACATAGTCTGTTAGGAGTGTATTTTTTTATTTTCATTAACATCTATGTGTAAAGTTGAAGGAGATAAGAGCTCCTGTAGTTATCTCCTAAACAGATGTCCTCTCTGCTCGTTTCCATTCATTCAGCCCTAAATGTGGGCTCTGCAGCTTTTCTGTAAATGCATTAATCTTCTTATTGCATGCGGCTCAGTGTCGTCGCTGCTTGTGTGTGCTGATGGAGGGACTCTCTCGTTTCTTTTTGCCTCCTATGGATGGACTGGTTTCCCCTTATGGACCTCTCTCCGCACTGGGAGTGTGGTGGGTGTGATGGCCATATGTCAGGTTGGGGAGGGAATAGAGTCAAAGCATCTCTTTGAGATAAGAAAAGCTTCTGGGTACATTATATCTTTCTCTATATACAGATACATACATATTACACAGTTAAGCTGCATATTATTCATACTCATGCCAAATTTTGATTCATATGGAATTTTTTATTCGACCAATACGTTACTTTTGGCTTGAAAGGACATAAATAAGTGATAAAAGACATTTTTACAAGAAAAGTCATAACTGCAATTGACTACTAAATGACTAGAGAACAACTGCATGATGAGTTCTCAGTTTGTATGTGAATGCTTCAGAACATGGTACACTGTAAAAAATAAATGTTCTTCATTTAGATCAACTTACTGATACTTTATATAATATTATATAATATTATAAATTATAGATAACAACTCATAAAATAATAAGTAAATAACGTCCACATAAAAAATCTGACTTTTGCAAATGGTAATTCATTCTTTTGCAATGTTTGAACATAATATTATTTTATTTAAATCAGAAAAAAATATAAATTGACAGATATTTACTGTAATGAATGGTAAATCATTTTTGAAGTGTTATTTTACAAATTTCCCCATTTTGATAAACTACAGATAATATCGTGTGAGACTACAAAAAATATATTAATTTATATGAAATAGAAAACAAGTCAGAATCGTACATAATGTCCACATCAAAAAATTCTTCTTCTTTTTTTTTAACAAATAGCAATTTGTTCTTTTCCAACATTTTTTCAAAAATTTGTGCCAGTTTCAAGGGATATAAATATTGTACGACACAGCATTTTAGTTAAAAAAGAAAAATAGAAAGAAATAATACAAATGTCTCACTAAAACCATCTTCTGTTAGTTTTTATGTCATTTCCAGCCAGAAGAAATAAGTAATAAAATACAATTAAAAAATACAATAAATCAAAATTTGGCATTGGTGGGAATTTTTGTTAATGTTAAATGAATATAAAATATAAATCTGACCAAGGATGTCCCTGTTGCTGCAGTTTTCTTTCTACCCTGGTGAATGTAAGTAGTTTGGTCAGACGGCCAGTTGATCCAGTTCAGTGGCGTTATTAGACACAAGGCTCTGTCACACCATATATTTTTCTAAATAAAAAAACATTCCTGATGAACTTTTGACGTGCCTGCACAGTGACTCCTTTCAACCGAGCAGCTGACCCAGTTCAGTGCTGGTTAATCTGCCTGTTAATGTGGGATTAGACTGGGACTAAGACTGGATGCTGATCTCTTCCCTCTCATTTACTGTCCTGTAGCTAGATTTATTCTGCACCACAACAGAGACATCATAGAGGACATAGACGCTCAGACAGTCTGTAATTTATTTGTCTAAATTGCAATGACAGAGGAGTGTGTTGAGCGACTGTGCTGAGCCATGCAATTTGTACTATTCATAAGAAAAATAGATGTCAAGAGACAGCGTCATTAAGTTGTGTTTATGAGCAGCTGTTCACTTCCAAAACAGTTTTCGGAGAAACAGCACATACCTGAGTAACGACAATTCAATATGCAGGTATTATTGTACATTTCTCTGCAAATTTGTGAAATTTTTCCTGCTTTCAGACAAATTCTAGAGTTCTTGCATGTTGGCCTGCTATGCACTGACTACCAGACTCTCTAGATTATGTTTGCAATTACTGACTCTCTATTATCCCTGCAATTGTGACTAAACTGTACTTTCCAGGCACCGTTCTAAGAATTTAGGGTCACATATCAGCCTCTTCCTGGAAACTATTAGACCTGTGATAAAAGTGTTGCTGAAGCGCATTCATGATTACACACATTATTTCAGCTCTGATGGACAGTCCTGTCTGCAAGTGGGTGTGTAACTAAACCGTTAGTAGAGCTAGTAGATACAAAATACAAAGTATTATCTGTAAAACTATTTTACCTGACTAATATAATAAGGTTAGGACCCTATATTTAGGGTCCGAGCACCCAAAAGGGTGCGAAGACCCTATTGGAACTGCTCGGA